AAAAAAAAAGAAAGAAAAGAAAACGTATAAAATAACAATAGAAAAAGTAATACTTTGGGGAGAGTCGCCGTTGCGGCTCTGCGGATCTTTCGTTCTTCTTCCTTTTTTTTTTTAATGCAGTTTCCCTTCCGCCACGTGCATACCGCCTTTTGGCCAAGAGTTTAGCCAAGTCCTGGGGGATCCGCCTGGGTGGCCAGAGTCACCACTCGGAGCAGGGCTCTGGAGTGCTGCCTGCGCCGGGACCCAGGATGTATTATTTTGGGTGAAAGAAGGTCCCAGGAGCCCCTCCCGCTGACCGCCAGAGCCGCCTTAGTCTTCAAGTCCTTCTGGAGAAGGGGGCGGTGTGACCCTGGGTTCTGCGCACCTGATGGCTTTATTTAGCATTTGATCTTGGACGTTTTAAGCTCCTTCACCTGTGAGTGTAGCGTCTTGTGGACAGCGAGAGTCCTGGACTGGCAAAATCCTTTTCCGCACTCTTGACACTTGAAGGGCTTCTCTTTGGAGTGAATATATCTGAAGACAGAAACAGACAGAATGTTGATCCTTAAAAATGATGCAACGTTATAAACAGTTGCCCAAGATTGTCTCCCACTGCTATGAGGCCTTCAAAGGAAGGGAGATTGTGGGGTACTGTGAAGCAAGGGCAAAATGGTGTTTGTCGATGGAGTGGAGAGGTGAAGGACAGCTTGGACAATATCTGACCAGTGAATCTTTAAGGCCAAGAAGACTGCCTGCCTTCCTGAGGAGCTGCAGCACCCCCTCTTATAAAGCTTGAATCACTAAAAGTGAGTGTATGTAGTGGGGAAGGGCTAGAATTGGTCAGTTCCTACAGTTGCTGTCCAGGACAGTAGCCACTAACCATGTGTGGTTATTAAAATTTAAATTAATCAAAATTAAAGAAAATTAAAATTCAGAGTCTTAGTCACACCAGCCACATTTCAAGTGTTTACATGTCACACTATCCATCATAGCTCAAACTTCTTTTAGATAGCACTGAGCATAGAGGAAGGGCTCAGGAAACCGCATATTTATGGAATTCATAGATAACTGACCTAGTTTTAGGTCCTACTCATCCCCATATTTCCTCTACCCATGCTCCAAGAACCTATCCTGTTTTCCATCATCATTTTAGAGAAGTCCCCAAAATTCAGGAGGCCTGGACTCAGTAGGTATCTCTTGAGCCTCATCATTACAAGGGAGGGGTGAGGCCAGAGACAAACAGACCCAGCTTTTTCTTGGGCGGTGTGAAGTAGCGCACCTGTGATCCCTTAGGTGGTCTTGCCTCCGGAAGGCTTTGTGGCAGATGTCACAGGTGTAGGGGCGCTCATCAGTGTGTGTCCGCTCATGAATTAGTAGGTTGTAGGACTTGGTGAAGTGGCGGCCACAGAACTTGCAGACGAACTCCTTCTTGGTCTTGGAAGGGAGGCGTCCTCTTGTGGGTTTCTTTTCTGGAGACAGCTTGGTCACATCCAGGAGGGCACCTAGCCCACCCACAGGGGAGCCTGGGCCCTCCCCTCTGCCAAGCTTGGATGGGTCTTCTTGCGTGGCGGCTAAAGCCAGGTTGGCAAAATCAAAACGTGGCTTGGTCTTAAGAGCTGCAGTGCCACTGCCTCCAGTGGTGTTCTCCGGCTTGGGCTGAATGACATGAGGGAACCAGGGAAAAGCAGGCAGCTGGAAGCGTGCATCCACCAGGCTGGATACAGCACCCGGCACTTTGGAGAAAGAGGAACGCGGCAAGTGCATGGCGGGGTAGCCCAGGGTCCACTGGTGCAGGTGCACAGCGTGCAGTGCACTGAAACCATACAGGTTGGGCAGGTGGTCCGAGGGCACTGTGGGCAGGCCGTTCACTGCCTGAAGGAAGGAATAGTTGGTGAGTTGCAGGGACGGGTGGATGGGCACTGGCGCTGGCAAGGTTTTGCTGCCCATTGTGGGGTTTGGAGAGGGTTTTCACAATCTTGATCTGCAAAAAAATAAAAGGAAAAAGGGAGGGAGACAAAAGAGAAGTTCAGCATAGGTACCCTTCCTCCTGAATTCCAGCCCAACCACACCATCCCCTTCATCTAGGGCCAGAATTGTGAGTCTGAGATCCCACCCAAGAAACACTCCTATCCTCAGAGAAGGTGGAGATATAAGATGCAGGGAAGCCTTGTTTTCAGAATTCTCCTTCTGACTCCCTCGTCTGAAGACTCCCTCCAAATGGTGTCTGGCAGAGACAAACTACTACATACAGAAATTGGGAGAAAACTAAATCCCATGCAGTACAACAGCCTTGAAATGAGGGCCTACTATACTGCACAGAACACAAAGGGAGCCACAGGCACCAGAAAACTGATGTGTACAAAGTTACAGCTTCACAGCCTGGGTTGATACAGAAACATGCTCTCCTACAAAGATAAACAGGAACTTGGAAGCACATGTAGACATTCATGTGCAGATCAACAAACACACACTGACAGATAAACACAGATTCACACATTCTGAAGCTGAGTTGATGACAAGGTGAAAAGAAAAGCTAGAAGAACACTGACTACAAAATGCAGGCACCAGCACACTCAAGGGATAACCCACAAAAATGCACACTTCCTGGCTCCTGTGCATTAAGTCCTCCTGGCTGACCTTCGATTTGACTTCCAGAAGCCATGTCATTTTTCTCCTTAAAACTCTCAACTTTGACCTCAAATTTGCTTTTTACCTATTAATGAGCCATGTTCACACCACCCTCTCTGCATTGGCCCGCAGACTGATCCTCTGTCACAGCCCTTGGGGATCGTTTTTCTTCTTATCTAGGCCACCGACACTACATTCATTTACTAACTCACACATCAGCAGCCACATACAAGGGGGCTGCAGGGCTCTCCCAGCTTCATAGCAAAGGACAGTGAGATCTCTGGGCTTTCAGGAACTTTCTGGGTCCATACAGTGAGCCTTCAGCAGGTGGATACACATATGGGCAAGAAGACTGAGGCCAGGTGCTGGTTGCTATGATCTGTGCACCTCCAACTACAGTCAGGGAAATTGAGCAAGGCCAGAGGGAAGGCCATGCTGAAGTAACCAAGAGTCTGGTATCTTCTGGTCTCCTGGGTCAGAGTCTCCAGCCTCTGTGGACTTGCACTACAGAGGCATTTTATCCTGCTCTTCCCAACTCCCTAACTCAGATCTTTCCAGTCCATGAAAAACTATGGAGAAGTGAAAACAAAAGTAGGAAGGGAGCCCTGGGGAGGCACAAAAGCTGAGCTCCCAGCTCAGCTTGAGTCTAGGACCACTCAAGAAGTCCTTGTGAGAATAGGGTCACTGTGACTCTCACCTCCTTTGCCCAATCCTCTGCTCCAGACTCTTCTCTTCCTCTCTTTGCTCCTGTTCTCTTCTGCTGGCCTCTCCTCTAACCAGGAGTAATTTCCTTTCCCTGGGATGTATGGGCCACAACTCTACCCCCCACCCAAATTTATAGCCATACACTCACACCTCCCCAGGCAGTTTCTCCAGTCTAGCTGACCCTCAGCCAAAGCCTGCAAAATCCAGGCCCAGACTCAACTGCCTTTCGCAGCAAGGAGACTCTAAAAGCTGGGCCATAATCAGGGAGGTGCAACTCCAGTTCTTGGGAGGAATTAAAACAATCAAGATCCTGGAAGCTGGCAGGAGGTAGGTCTGCCTGGGCCACTCAGGGAGCAGTAGGCCCTAAGGACAGTGGCTCTGCTGCGGGTAGGGGGTTAAAAAACAAAACAAAACAAAACAAACAACAACAACAACAAAAAAAAATAACACCACCATGAGCCTGCAGAAATATGTCTGTGCAGCTTAATTTATCAATCTGATGAAAATCAAGTCTGACCGCTGCGATTAACTCAGCCTCAGAGCCGGAAGAGGCTCTGTGATGTGCCTTTCAAGCGGGAGCACTGGCCTGGCTGGGACCCTCAGCCTTCGCTACTCTTCGGACCACAGGTTGTCCAGGGACAAACCCAGAGAGCTCTGAGACCAGAGGAAGAAAATACAAATTGAGTCAAAGAGAAAGGTGGGACCGGTTTGGGTGAGAATGAAGAGAAAGAGAGACTCCTCAACTTCAAAGGTGGTCCCGTGCTTAGGCGGAGTGATCGCTCTTTGATTTGCCGTCACCTTTTCTCCTCCAGACCCTGGAGATCAGATCCTTATCTCAGACTCCCCGGGGTCAGCGGGCGCCACCGAGGCCTCCGCTTACTGCTCTCGGTACTCGGCCTAACCAAGGCCAAGAGAGAGGCAGTAGTGGCAGGATTCTAGGCTGCACAACGGGTCGGAGCCCGCTCGGTGCCGGAGTCGGAGAACCAGCCAACTTTGAGTACTTGATTTGGCCTTCCCTTCCCTACCCCCAGGAGAGGAAAAGACGAGAGAGGCCTTGAGCTCCGTGGGTCGGTGGAAAGGCTACAGCAATCTTAGCCTTTGGGAGCCAACCTGTCCGTGCTACGTGCCCGATCTTGTTTTCACCAACACTCCACTTATTTTCCTCAGCTGCGCAGCCAGCTTATTTTCTGCCGCCGTCGGAGACCAGTGCTCCCCAGGCTCTCGCCAACGGCTTTCCCGGGGACGAAATTCGTTCGAAACGTGGCTTTTCAGACTAGTACCCAAAATAGACGGAATCCATGATCCTATTTCAAGAAATCAGCTAAGAGAAAAACACAATCTTACACTCGCCTATCTAACAGGAGAGGGTAGGCGGACGCCCAGCACCACCAACTCCTACTGCTCAGACCCCAGAACCCCAGTTCGAACGCTTTCCATCTTGAAACACTATGTTTGAACACCTCTCCGCAGGGTAGACATCCACTCCTAAAGGTTCCTGGCTTCGGGACTTGGGAGATTTGAATAAATGGTCCCGACTGAGGGCAGCAAACACAATTCGCGCTTCGAAGTTCAGGTCCTTCTGCCTCTCGGACACTTGCTTCCCTCGCGCGGTGGAGCGCCAAACTCTGCTCTGCCGCAAGCCTTATGCCGAGCATTAATGAAGTGTGTAGAGTCTATTAAAGTGGTTTATTCGAGGCTAATTGAGCGTGAGCGAGCTAACTGCTTGCCTTAATGAGGACAGAGGGAGCTTCAGGAGCTTATGCCTGAAGGAATACAGCAGAAGCCCCAAAAAATCGTCCTTCACTTCCAATAGCCAACCTGAGTGGTGACAGCTGTCCAGACTCCTGGTGGGAGCGTTGAGCGGCACCGGATACTTCTGTTGCATTCTCCCAACGAAAGGAATCGAAAGAACCCACAGGCGAGGCCGCTATCCCTTTGCACATAAACTCCCGCTGCTCTCTCAGCGATCTGCTTCCCCAATCTTAATGAAACCACAATTACTTCAAGGAGTCTCTGATACAATATTGGCCCACTATTTGTCCCCAGCCCCTGCCAACCCTGGGAAGTTGTGAACCAGAAACGAACCTTGCACGTGGTTTCTGTTCCCAAGTACCAATGCTCAACTTTAAACCCAGAAATTTACCAAATTACCGCAACAAAGAAGCTCTTGCAGCTGCTTTACACTGCTCACCTCCCTTCTGCTTGAACTGCTGAGAAAGGGCTGGGTCTGGGTTTTAATTTTCATCAGACACATGCTGGGAGAAAATTAGTTCTACAGCCAACTCTTCACCTCTTCCCCTCTTTCCTCTAGCTCCCGCCTTCCTTCCTGAAAGCCAAGTTAGGGAAGCAAAGGAATACTCCAGGACCCAGGTTGGAGATAACCGCGACTCTATAGTCTTCCACTACTATGGAATTCGGATCTCAAATTTGGGAGAAATATTCTCGGCTCCCTCGTGCCTCCCCTCACCCAGGTACTCTCAGGTTTTGAGCTAGGCCTTAAGGACATAACCAATAGTCCTATAGAGAACCTCCCAAAGTCAGGGGTTGAGTTTAAGTCAGTTACCAGGCATGCGGCCCTGCGCTCCCGGGTCGAGTCGGCCTCACACCTGAGCATAAGTCAGCAAGAGACAAATTTGCACGAAAGCGCAACGCAGCTAGGGCATGCACCTGTCCCTGACGCGAATGGCTGCGGCCGGCCGTGGCCATCCACTCTCCCTTCTTCCTCAGCTAAAGCAAGCCAGCCTGAACTAGGGCATGCGTTTCAGGAAAGTTTGTGCCCTCTGAAGTCGTTCAGGTTTCTTAAAGGGGGCCCAGAGGCTGACTACCGAAGTCCGCGGGCACCAGGCCGGGGAATCGTCGGAGCCCGGCGCGGCTTCGGGCAGTAACAGAGGCCCGCACCCGCATTCTCCAGAGGTCAGAGGCCGAGGACACACGCGGGAAGTCCCTGAGCCAGCACTCGCAGCCACCCTGGGCTACAGTAGCTCTCACTTTCCCAATGGTCCTGCAGCCTTCGTTTGGCAAGAGAAGCTTCCTTCTGGGACACTGAGGGAGAGGAGGCACCCCCGCGCGGCGACCCAGGAGTCCTGCCTCTGCTCCCCCCCGTGGAGTCCTGGCTTCCAGGGCTGCAGTTACCTTGTTCCACGACGGTCCGGGGCTGAGCGCGTCTGTTGGGCTCCGACTGCGGGAAACCCGGAAAACCAGAGGCACTGAAGCCCAGAGGTACCCCCAGAGTTCTAGAGTCCTGGTCCTTCTCCGGCCACGGGGACTTGGAGCGCTCGACACGCGGGAGCGCTCCGAAGGATGGCAGCTCTGCGGCAGGGAGTCCTGCCCGCCTGGGGATGGTGAGCCTCACTCGCTGGATCTGAACGAGGAGCGGCTGAGAACTAGCTGGGGAGAGACTGAGCTCCAACTCACTCATCCCTTAGCACCGAGCCGCCTACTTATTTTAATCCACCACCCTCCCTCCCACCCCACCCCCGCCCGCCCCTAGCCTAAGGATTCCTCCCCTCCCTCCCCTGCCCCCCAAACCTCCCTGCGCCTGCGCGCTGAGACACAAAGTTTTGCTGACCGGGGCAGCCGACTTCAGCAGCTTTGCTCTTTTGGTCCCAGCCTCCC